CTGTTGTCAAATGAGCTGAGGGAGAGGGGTGAGGAGTAAGACAGTGTCAGGGGAACGAGCAAAGGCGTAAACACTGAGAGATTGCAGGGACATATCTGCATGTACGAGGCTGCAAAACAACAAAAATAAAAACGAAAGATGATCAAATTTTCCATGAATATGACTAAGGTTCAGTGTTCTACAAAGAACCACTGGATATTTCAAATGTGCATTTGTAGACTTTCCCACAGTTTTAAAGTTTATTTGTGGTCAAAACGCCAGACTCGGTCAGCTGGAGAGCAGCAATGCGTTCACAACCAAAACTGATAAGACAAAACAGCTGCTCTTAAAGGACTCTTAAATCAGCACACAATTTCATCTTTTCATGAGGAAAACAAAGACACATTTTTAGGGAGGGAACTTTCAAAAGGTTGCCGGCAACCCAATCACTACAAAAAATGTTGGCATTATAGGATTCTGCAAACCATGGATATGTTACAATTAGGGCTGGGCGATAAAGTGATCTCGAAACGGGATCGCAATAAAATGTATGTCGATGATGATGATAAACTGTAGTCATTTTTAGACCCAGATAGATCCAAACAGCGTGTCAGGCAGCAGACATTAACAGACAGCTGTCAGTCAATCTGCAGTGTTGGGGATGTGCATCATTGTATACGCCCATTTTTCACTGCAAAGTTTGTGCCGAGGTGAGGAGAAATAGAAAGTAGCGTAGCGATAACGAGAAGAGGGGAAAAGGAGTGGAAGTGAGGAAGCTGAAGAAGAGCTTGCATTATCCTAAAAAACGGACGAAATTGTGGATGTAAAAGGTTTCACAACGTCAATAATTTGGAAGTGGTTCGGCTACTTGAAAGGTGACAACGCACCGACACAGACAGTCCGCAAAATATGTCGTTGATTGGTCCCAACCACCGCGACTACACTAAGAGCATGAAAACCCAGGCCCAAATTGCAGTAAGTCCAACAACAGGTGTTGCTTGCACATCTGGCGCAAGCAGGGTGGCACCAAAACAGCCATCAATAGCAATCAGAAAGGAGCAGAGATATAACAGATGCAGTGTCATACTTTCTAGCCCATGAGCACCGTGGAGAAAGACAGGTTCAAGAAATTAAAGTGCTAGACTGCAGGTACGAGCTCTTAGGAAGGAAATATTTTTCTCAAACAGTGGTCTGCAGCTTTGCATTTGTCTCACCTAGATGTCACGCCATCCACCATCCCCCCAACTGCCCAATGACAAAGTCAGCTCATGTACTACATTCCTTTAGAAACACTGATATGCTACATATGAAATGTGCAAATATAATGTATTTGTGGTTTGCAGAAATGTACAACGCCAACATTTTCTTCAGTTGACTGAGCTGCTGCCTGATAGTGGATCTTAGTTCATCCAGTGCTGCAGAGAGAAACAGTTTCACTTCTGTTTCCTGTGGTTGTTTGTGTCAGCAACTGTCATTTGGTGCAGGGGAATTTTTCAGTTGACCTTTGACTAGAGTTTTGTAGGTGAAAATCAGGACAACCGGAAAAGAATGGGAGCTAAATGAGGTGGAACAGGATCTTAAGCCACATGCATAACACACACACACAGACACACACACACACACACACACACACACACACACACACACACACACACACACACACATTGTACTCTTTTACATTGGCATCATTTGAATTGCTCGGGGTACAGACTGAAATTTCAACCAGAATTTCAACTTCAGATATTACATTCAGGCTCCCACTTTAATTTTCACTCCCTTGCCAGTACTTGTCTGGCGGGGTGTGCAGTACACACATTCTCCTGCATGCTCCTTGTTTATGAACATGAGTTCATGTGTGAGCAATGGCATGAGCGTGGTTTTAGTGTTTAAGCATCAATACAATATCTGGCACAAGGTGTTTGATAGGAGCTTGACATGACTCCACTGATACTCCACATGCTCTGTCTGTCCGTATATAAATACAGTGGAGTAAAACCATGAAGAACCTGCCTTGCACGGACAACTAGAAAACCATTAATTTGAATGCGTGACAAATTCTGTAGCTGAAAGGGTACTGTACCTTTAAGGGCTGTAACAGTTCTTGTAAATGTACCAAACATCATGTTCAGGTGCACACAGCCACACACAGAATACAAGTGCAAGATGAGTTCCACCTGAAAACTTTAAGCCATACACCGTTAGCAACATGTGCTAAGGTTACCATGACAAGCTGATCAGCATGAGTCTATTGCGAGTGAATTAAATGGCAGAACTGGAAGGGCCTTAGCAACTTGAGCAGCTTGTACCAAAGAGAAATGACCTGTCTGTCCATGAAGATGACACCGAACAGAGAGAAACTGAATGTAAAAACTGCAGAAAAAAACGTTTCAGCGACCAAAGGTAAAACCACAAATCTGTTTCAGCACTTTGAGCACAATCGCGCTACCAAATATGAACAGTGCACGGCTCAAAAAAAGAAAGAGACTGACAAGTGCCTCCAGAGAGCCGCTCTCGATAACACAAGCACTTACAAGGGCTACACAATATGAAAAAGATTCAAGAAAACAGTTCATCTGTGAGGGTTGTGTCCAACTTTGACAATTGCACTACTGTCTATTCAGGACAAATGAAAAGAAATGTATCCTTGTGCATTTTTGTTTCTGCTGTACTGAACTCACACTGAACCGTGACTCGCCAACAAGGGTACGAACCAAATCATGACCTCTGTGTACCCTCACACCCTTTGTACCTTCTCTCTTCATAAAATACATGCTGCACTTGGAGCAATGTAGAAATCTAAATTACATCTGAGTTATGATCTCTCGTATCTACCAGCTGCATGTCTCTGAGACATCCAGGACACATCCTAAAAAAATATCTACCAATAAAAAAACAGATATACCACTGTAATTAAAGCAGGTAAACAAAACGGGAGAAAGTTTATCACATCATAAATGTCAAGTTGTAAAAGCAGGTGAGCAAAGCTTTTGGAAACTACTATTTAAATTGATTGCACGATGGCGCAATAGCAACTCTTCGGCCTATCTCACCTGCATAGCAAAGAAAAAGTAGGCAAAAGGGTGTGAGAACAAGCAGCGCTGGAATGTCACAACTCCTCTGACTGCATGAAACACTTCCATTCATACTGGATGTTCACACTGCAAACCACTGTGCTAATTACAGTCTGCAGCTACAAATGTTTTGATGTTTTGGGCTGTTTTAGGTTTTGCTTTCATGTCGTTCATCATGTCACTGGTGTAACACTGGGAGCTGTGTACAAACTAGCTGTGTAATAACAGCTTGCACAGAAAACAATATAGAAGGACGGCTGCTGTAATGTACTAGCACTCTCTACAGAAATGAGTTAAAGCTGTGGTAGGCCGTTTAATTTGGGCGTCATTGTACAAAAATGCCACAATAAACATTGAGCTTACTGTAATTCAAGAGGTCTGAGAGAAAACTAGACTTCTGCACCTCCTCTTGGCTGTTTTCATGCTTTTGAAAATCTAGCCCGGGAGACAGGAGACTTAAGTCAATCACAGGTCATTTCAAAGAGAGGGCGTTTCTATTAGCTGTTCTACAAATGCAGATCCATTCCAGCGTTGGCATCAACTGCCTCCAAGGCACAGCAAACAAAAAAGGAAGATGGACTTATCAAAAACTGGGTCGAAAAGAGAGTTGAAAGTGTTTTAGAGATGGAGAAAAAATGTTGCTAACAGTTTAGCTTTCTGCTAACTAGAAATAAAGGCTCATGGCTGCAGCTTCATGTTCACATTTATGTAGCTAACATTAGCTAGAGCCTCGAATCACAGTATGTCCTCCACCGCACTCCCTGCCGCATAAGACCACTTTGCTGTTTAAAGAGCCGCAATCAGCAGCTGCAGCAACCTGAATCATGCCAGCGCAAATCCCAGCTGCCTAACTCCTTACTGCAGGATTAGCAATCTATCTGTTGCTGCTGCTGCACTGGCCGAATTCGAGCCGCTACAGCCACCAACCAAATGTCCGTCTCCCAAGCTGCTGCCCACTCTGCTCCCTGAGAAGCAGTCCACAGTGGCGGGGAGTGAGGCGGAGGGACCGTGGGGTGGCTAGCTAACTGATTCAGGTCTCATTTGTGGTCTGATAAACAGGAGGAGAGCAGGGCAAGGAGAGGCTATGAGAATGTGCTGTGTGCAACTCAATGAAGTAAGATTAAATAAATCAATGAATGGGAAACACTGGGTTACTGTTTGAAGTGTGTGCACATGCTCATGGTTGTCTGGTGGGAGGGGCTTAGGACAGAACAGGGAGAGCTGCTGCCTTTTCCAGATTTCTGCTTACCCCAGCATTGATGAAAAAGGAAAATTATATAAAGATGTCTAATCCTGATAATATCATGATGCTGGAATACATTCTGTGCACATTTAGGCAACTACTCCACTGGCGAGCAAGCTCATCACTAATCCATCCAAGCTTCAGCAGGGTTTCTATTGGCGAGGAGATTCAGTGCAACAGGTCCAACTACAAGATCACACAGGCAAAACAATGTACGGAAAATGTACTACAAAGCAACAGAGACAAGACACATAAATTCTAACAACATCAGCGAAGCCCGAGGCAACGAGGCGACTTACTCAGCAGCCCGTCTGCCAACACCTCGGCTAAAATGTCTGTTTAACTCAAAGAAAACTATCATCTGCGGGTGGTGGAGATGTTATATGTGTGACTCACATATAATTGACTCACACATGACTCATCATGTTTTCAAAGCCAGGGTGCCTTTGAGTTTAATCAACTTAAAGTGTGGACTCCAATCTAAAAAAAATCTTTTTTTTCACAGTGACTATTGTAGGTAACAGAGAGGGTGGAGTAAGGTTACAAGTACTGAGGATGTGTTGTTTCCTAAAACCAGATTCCTGCATACTTCTCATTCCAGCCCTGGCTGTCACTGTTACAGTGCATTTGCCTATGTTGCTCTCAAATCAGTTCCAGTTTCAGCAACTGTAAGCGTCGGCTGCTACGTGACCCAGGCTGATTCTTACCTTTGAAGTAGCTCTTGACCCTCAGGTAACCCACGCTGAGGCGAAGGACCGACAGTTTGTCCAGACGAGAGCGAACCTCCGCGGGAAAGGGCAGGAGGTCTGTCAGCCTGTCCAGCTCCCCGTTCAGCCGATCCCGGTGGCGCTTTGAAGGGTTTGATTTAACAACTTCATTGCCATCACTGGCCTTCTTTCTGCGGAGGAACAAGAAAAACATATAGGTGGTTATTAAAGTGTTAAATATGATGATAAAGAAAGCCTGTGATTAAGAGCTGATTCAGTTCAGGCCTGGCGAACCAGCCCTGCCAGAGCATGCCATCTGTTGCGGGGCGCATTGTGACACATGCCAATTAAACATGAGCCATAGTATCTTTGAGAATGCTGCAACAGTTTCAGACCTACTAAGAGAATAAAGACACAGCCGTGATGTGACTAATAAACACTGCAGGTCAGAGGAGTCAGCTGAACGTCAGCTTCCATGATGAGTGTTTGATACAGGAATGCTGTCCAAGGCCCCGTAACAGCTGTCGTTATTAAATACCTGCACAATAATCATTAGTTTATTCTAATTATGGAACAAGATTGTGAGATGGGTTGTAACACGTTATAAGTTTAAACTGTTCTCAACTACTATTTACTCCACTCCAGTATATTGTTGAGCCAGGAATCCACTTTTTACTTTAATAACTGTCATCGTAACAAACTTTGCACTGCAAAGATGAACATATTTCAACAGATACCATTTGATATAAACTATAAATGGTCATCAAAAGAGAACAAAGGGAAGAAGAGAAGCCTGGATAATTCACTGCAAACCTCCAGGTGTTCATATGATGTCAAATGACATCACAACGTACCACCTGATAAAGCTAATAACTCATCAGAATTACACATACCACCAAAGCGACTGTCAACAGACTCTTATTTCACTGTTTGCACAATAAATGGAAACGTACAGATAAATGTACATGACACAAAGCAGCAAGCTAACGTGCAGGAATGTTTAAATGCTCCTTGGCAACAGTCCAGTCCCAGTCCAGCTGCAGAGCCGGATGTGTTGGCAGAGCCACAGAAATGATTAAATAAACAATCTGCTGTCGCTTATTTCTGTTCACTAATAATTGGCACCTGTAAAACTGTAGTATAAAAAGCAATATCACACTCAAAGGCTGTGATTATCTTCAGCACTCCCTCTCATGTAATATTGCTTAATTGTAATAATTGTAATACTTAATTTAACTATTTTAATTACTTTATCAAAGTGGTGTCACCTCATAACCCCTTTGAAATTATTAACATTTTGATTAGTAACTGTAATTTAATTACATATATTTTCTTAGTAACTGTAACAGAATACAGTTACATTTATTTTGTAATTTATTTTCACAACTCTGTTACATGTAAAGGGGGGTTTATACTTGTGGAGCAAACCCTACGCCGTTGTGAGCATGTATACTTGTGTGCAAGTGTGTCTGTGTCACTCTACAGTTACGCCTCCAAAACACTAGTCCGCGGCAGAGGTTTCTGTGAAGTGCTGTAAAGTTTAGTTGATTCAAAACACACATTAAACACACATTAAACAAGGCTTAGCAGCGACAGTTTCAAACACAAGTACACAAATCAGCTTCACTATAACTCACAGCATTCACAGACAAACATTTGTCTTTATCTGGACACATTTTCCCCACAAATACAACATGCTAACATTATTAGCACAAGCCTATGGCATTTTACATTGTATAAATTAGCCTAGCAGCTAGCGATCTTTTCCTCCTCTCATATAAAACCAGGGACAACAGCAACATTTAACAAAGGTAACGTTACAAAATTCGGCTCCATTACAACTCACAAGGTTCACCGACAAAACAACTGTCTTATAATAAACATGTTTTCCAAACAAATATAACATGCTAACGTTATTAGCACAAGCTTATGGCATTTTACATTGTATAAATTAGCTTAGCAACAAGTAGCGATTTCCTCTGCTCATATGAAGCCAGGATAAATCACACACAAGACTTAAAATGCTATTTTTGTGGAGGCTTACTGTCTTCAAAATTTATTGTTTCTTATCTGTGAAATTAAAGTAAATAAAACTGAGGGAAATGGTTTCAGCTTACAGAAACAGACAGGAGGTCTGGGTCACTGTACCTGTACTAGAGTACAGAATTCAGCACTTAAACTCTACCCATCACTGCAAGATCCTTATATAGCTTGGAACTACAATGTCATGTTTCATCTTTTCAGGTTAGTTTGGCTCTCTATAATGAAAAGGTAGAAACTGCACTATGTTTCACTGACATGCGCAGAACCTTAGCAGATGATGCTGAACTGTGCTGCATGAAGCAAACTGACGTGGTCTTTCCCTTCAGGACGGCTGCTATAATGTACTAGCACTCTCTACACTCCCTGAACTGAAGCTATGTTTTTTTGTGTACAAGGGCCTATAAATGCTCCACAAAATTAGAAGTACAGCACTCTGACTCAGAGCCCTAGTCTTAGTCTTTGCAGTGGTGAACAGGACATCAAGTTGACATTGAGCAACAGGAAACTGCACCCAATTTTGAACAGCAAAAAGATCCCATCCGCTGTCTATCTGTTCAAACACGAAAACAATACAGAGTGGGTTTTTCTCGAGGACGCAATCTTCAGCCGAGTATAAACAGCACAGACACCAGCATGCAAAATATACAAAGTCACCACAAGTCATTTCATCAACTACTTGTGTAGTTTGTCAAAATGGAAACCTCTCTCTTTTTTTTTTACCACGACAGCAGCTTTATTTGCTCCGCTTGACTTTCACTTTAAGGGCGACAAAATTTGAGACCACCCATGCTTGCTGGAGATACATGTCATTACTCACAAATCAGACACACATGCTATAATGGGAGCGAAACCAAGTGCGAGTGAAAGGACGCAACGGGGACGACACACAACACCACTGTTGTCATTCCTGCACTACACACCTGCTGAGGAAAAATACTTACAGCTTATATATGGAGGCTCAATCCTGCCAGGAAGAAAGGTAACGATAAAGGAAAGATAGGAGTGTAATAACAGTTATAATGCAGTAAACCAAAACTATGATAGTATAAAGATACTGTTCAGTCTAGTGAATGTCAAAATGCCTAGATCCCCAAATCAAAACTCAACATCTCTGCAAAAGCGCCAGCTGTCTGCAGCTTTGTTATCGCCTCCTCACCTCTGCCAGACCAGCTTCTTTTGTGTACAGCCGTGCAGTGGCACTGCGCAGGAGGAGTGTGGAGTCTAACGAGGTAACAAGGTTATTTACCTAATGAGATGAATGTGATGCTAATAAGCGTGAGCCAATCTGTTGTTTAGTTTAACCACGTCTAATCACTAAATCCTGACAAGTGCCAAACCCTCTGCCAAAAACATGTCTTTAATCTACGTCCTGACAAAAGCGCCTCTCATTTACTAGGCCACCATGCACATCAGGAGCATGAGGCTGATAGTAAATTCTAGTCACAGTTTTTTTATTATTAAAGAGACTACAGCTGTTTAAACTGACAGAGATCCAGCTGACCGCAGCAGGCTGACTATACAACAGTGATATTCAACTTGAGGCCCGTGGCCCACCAACCCTTTTGTAATTCACGATGAAAATAAACTGATACAAACTGAGATTTTTAGTTTTATAAATGCAAAAAACATGCCAGAGTGCACATACAAAATAGAGCCTGGTTATAAAAAAAGAGCCGGGAACCCTGATAAACGTGGCCACTGCCAAATGTGGGGATAACGTTACAGGACTGTAAACATATAGCCTGCAACTGAGCAGAATATTTTTACATCTACCTTTGTGAATCCAGGGTTTATTTCGACTAATGCTGCACACAAATACCGGCATACACTGTATACCCTGGTGAAATTTCAGGTATACACTCAATCATTGCATCCCTCAGACAGCAGCAAGCAATGACAATCAAGACCTAGCAAGAATAAATCCTAATCATTTGATTTGATGTGGTTACACTAAGACCTTTGCTAGGGCTTACCAATATGGACTAAAATTCATATCTCAGTATTTTCAAGCTGAACGGCACAATATATATCTCGGTATCTGACAAAATGGGCTACATGTTCAGCTGCAAGTCAAAGCCACATTTGAGATGTTACGAGCACTTTTATAAAAACAGGCTGTGATCAAAATAAAATGCAAGGACAGGGATTTTATACCCTGTTTGAAAATATACAGCTGCACAACATGTAAATGAAAAATTATACAAAATAAATAGCAGGGCTGTATGTTAACTTTTTGCATACAGCACCAGAGCTACAGAGGTTTAAAGGTTCGCAGCACAGGACACAAAACTATAACATGAGTATAAAAGTATCAAGTAGGCTTAAATCCATGTTGTCTGAAAACAATTAAAAAGTTGTTTTCCATGGCCTTTCAAATGAACCTCGTGCTGGAAAATGATTAATCTTATTAATGCACAGAGCATCAACAGAGAGGCCGAGGGAGGGAAGAAGCGAGACACATTTTGTCCTCATTATATACGTCTTGTATATGACATGTTTGTTAAACACATCTGTCGCCTGCATCTAGGCGCTGTTTCTGTTTCACAAAACGGACTACAACTACCAAGAAGTACGGTGATGCGCTACAGTCTGCCTCACACACAAACCACAATTGCACGTGTGCTACTGCGGTAATTTCATCTCACAGACTGATTTGGCATAGCACGTGCAACATATACCACTGGCACATTGTAGACTAATGAACAGACAGATTAAACAGAGGAGCAGCTCTGTGTCTCTCCGAGTGCTGCTGGAGAGCTTGAAATACATCGATATATTGTACACAGTCGTTATATGGCCCAGCCCTAATCCTGGCACTGTAAAATTATTATTGGTGGTATTAATTTATACACACAGTGAACCGCTGGGTGTCAGCTAAGAATGCTCTGATTGAGAAACAGCTGATTTTCAATACAAATGACTCACTGGTTGGAAAAAACATCGAGTAAGAGGTAAGGCGAGTACATAAACAACCCTGAAATTGTGTTTTCATTGCCTGATCCGTCATGGTTGCGGTTCTTTAGCTGTTGTTCAGGGTACGACTTCAGCTGCTGTCACTCAGGCAATTTGGAACAAAGATAAATTAAAGGAAAAAACCAACACAAGCCTCCAGATTTGCTTCAATGCTCCCAGCCAAGTCCACAGAACT